ATTGATTCTTTCCACCTGTCCATTCGCGCGAGGTAGACCAGTGGTGATGAACTTCAGCGCAATACCTTCAGTGTCGCAATAATCTTTGAACTCCTGCAAGGTAAATGCCGTTCCCCGATCGGACACGATCTGAGAAGGGTTGCCAAATGTCGATTTCTGTATTTCTAACTTGCTGATCACTTCACGACTGGTAGTCGATTTAACTGGGTACAGCCAGACAAATTTGGTGAAGCTATCGACTACTACGAAGAGATGATTGTATCCCTTGTTCGTTGACTCCATTAGGCCGATATGATCGATGTGATAGGTGTGTAGCGGTAAACTTTCTTTAAAGAGCGGATGGAGCATACCTTCTTTCTTTCCAGCTTTCCTGTTGCTTATAATGCACTTGATGCAATTCCCTATGATGCGTGCAACTTTAGCATTTAGATTCGGTATGTAGTAATCTTGCTTGATTATTTCCTCGGTTCTTATCGTTGAAAAGTGCCCTCCATCATGAGCATCTTTGATGATTTCAGTTTGCATCCCCTTTGGAACAACTAGAAGATCATTTCCTTTGCTGAATTTGAATAAAATCCCGTCAACTAGAGTATAGTCTTCATACGGCTTTTCTTTTAAGACTTCGATGATGACTTTGATTCCAGCATCTTCGGATTGTGCATGTTTTATGCGAGTTGTGAATTCGTTTGAGACGGCATATAATACTGGGTATCGACTCAGAGCATCGACGTGTCGCATTCTGATTCCTGCTCGATGCTTAATTGAGTAGTCGAACTCTTCGAGCATTAAAGCCCATCTGGTAATCCGTGGTATCATATCTTTTTTCTCCATTGTACGTTGAAAGGCTGAGCAATCCGTAATGATATCAAATTTGATTCCGAGCAGATATACCCTAAATTTCTTCAGAGGCATTATTACAGCCAACACTTCAAGATCATAACTGCTGTATTTGGATTCTGCGGTCGTCGTTTTCCTACTATAATAGTAGACTGGGTGCATCTTTTCATCGTTGGGTGATTTTTGAAGGAGTACTGCTCCATATCCATCTTTGCTTGCATCAGTGTGAAGTTCTGTCCAGTAATTCGGGTGATAGATTTGTAGTATCGGCTTCTCAGACAAGAGCTGCTTCAATTTATTGAAGGCAATACGTTACTCTCTTCCAAACTGGAAATCAACGTCTTTTTTAAGCAAGTCGCTGAGCGGCTTCGCAATGATCGAATATCCTGACACAAATTTACGGAAATATCCGGTGAGTCCCAGAAAGCTTTGTAGTTGTTTATAATTCTTCGGCTCTGGGAATCTAATAACAGCGGACGTCTTGTCTGATGATGGAGATATTAATCCCTCCTCTATCACGTATTCCAGAAATTCAATTTGATCTTTCAATAACTTTAGTTTTTTCAGATTAAGCTCCAATCCGTACTCACTGGCGGTCTTTAAAACAATTCTCAGGCGTTCCAATGCTTCTTCTTCATCACTTGCTAGAATGATGATGTCATCCATGTAAATCAAGATCATGCCCTGCTGAACCAAGGGTCGAAAGGCCGTATTTACATATCGTTGGAAGACGGGCGGAGCAATACACAAACCCATCGGTGTCTTCAAGAACCAGTATTGTCCACTTGTTGTTACGAAGGCCGTATATTTTCTGCTATCAGCTGACACTGGAACATGAAAGAATCCATTCTTCATATCAAGGACTGAGAATACCTTAGAATTCCGTAATTTATCTAATATGTTCTCTATAAGTGGCAAGGGGTACCGATCCTTGTATATTTTCTTATTCAGCCGACGGTAGTCGATACATACTCTTGGCGACAGATCCTTCTTCCATGCTATAACGACGGGACTAGCATATTCCGAGGTACATGGTTCTATAATCTTTTTCTCAATCCATTCTTGAATTTGCTCCTCTAGTATTTTCTCTTCTGATGGTGACATCCGTCTCGGACTACAGAAAACAGGCTTCTCATCTTTAACTGTGATTACCGTCTCCACATCGGTACTTCTGATTCGGTTCGGTTTGTAGGTTTTGACGACCTCTTCGACTTCCTGTCGAATATTTTCGTTTACTTTATCACCAATGTCCAGTTCTGATTTTTCTACCATATTAACAATGGCCTTAGGTAATTCATCTGGGTCAGACTTAATTATTTGCACTCCATTCCGATTAACTATCAATTCGGCTTCTTCGAGAAGATCGTTTCCTAGCATCGCCGGAAACTTCATCACGTCATCGGAAACCACGTAAAATCTAGTGTCAAAATCATCTCCATCAATTTTAAGATGAGCGGTGAAATATCCTTTTGGTATTATGCAACCTTGTCTGAATCCATGCAACTGCAGATCCGTCTTCTGGATATCCGGTTTTCCGATAGCTTGATAAATACTGTCTCTGAGCAAATTAGGTTGTGATCCCGTATCTACAAGAGCTTCTATGTCCTTACCATTTATGCTCACGCTTATTCTCATCCGCTTCAGCTGTAACAATATGTTGTTGACCGGTGCGACCGAGTCATTTTTCGGACCTTTCGTCTTATCACAGTCCTTTGAGATGTGTCCAAACTTGTTACATTTGAAACACTTTCGACTTTTGCTTTTATTCTTGCATTCACCCGATTTGTGGTCTGTCTCACCACAGTTATAACAATGCTGCGTTTTGACTTTATCCTGAACAGGATTATTCTTACTTGGCTTTCCAGCATCCTTATCCTTCGGAATTTTGGCTGCTATCTTATCTCGCATCTTCTCATAGTGTCGTAACTTGATTTTAAATTCCTTCAATGTCTCAGCTCCGTATAAAACCGATTTACCTGTATTATCATCATCTATTCCGTCGATGACATAATCGATAAGCGAGCTGTGCGGTATCTCTCCCCGACTTGCTATCTCCTTCATTATCAGGAAATATTGTTGTATAGACTCATCTTTCTTACGTCTTCTTTTATTCAACTGGCGGTGAATGTCCGCATCTGTAATCTTAACGTCGAATTCTTCCATCAGCGCCCTTTTCAATTTTTTCCATGTGTTGATACCTGACTCTCCTTGCATGAATAACTTAGCTATGCCAGTAAGCGACTTCTTACCGAACACTAGTTTCTGCATCTCGTCCCACTTTAAGAGCGTTGCCATATCCTCAAACTCTTCAATCCACTTACGAACCGATACACCGGATTCTCCATTAAACTGTCGAACCGCATTCTCTATATCACGGAAACTGAAAGAGAATTGGTATCCTTTCGTTTTTGTCGAGCGATCATTTCTATTCTCACTCCTGATTTCTTCGATGTCATCTGGTTCATCTTCATTCTCATCATCCTCTTCTTTGATATCCTCTTCTTCCTCTTTATCTTCTTTTCCCGCAGCTTCCTCTATTATGCTCAGATCTCGTAATCCGTCCACTATTCTATTAACTAATTCTTCCTTTTCTCCTGAATAATCAAGACATAATAGACTACATATGGCGACCAAATCGTTTTCACTAAAATCTCTTTCTATCGAAGTTATTTTATCTTGATACTCATCTGATTCGGCTTCAAAGGTGAATCCCTTGAACTGCCTTAAACGCTTGCGATTTTGTCGGTCACCTTCTCGATCAAAAATTATCCGGTGGAGAACTTTTGCTGCTTTAACCGGCGCTTTCGTGATATTCTGTTCCACTCTATCAATATCACCGAGAGTCGTCATCTTGAAATCTGTCCTCTATTCCGTCGTCGTAGCGAATGTCGTCTCTCTGAACGTATCCTTCGTTGTTTTACAGCGTGTGTCGTCTTCGTCGTCCACGGCGTGCGTCGTCTACACAGGCGTGCACTTCCGTTGTCTTTTTGCGTCGTTTTCGTCGTTTCACGGCGTGCGTCGTCTACACAGGCGTGCACTTCCGTCGTCTTATGTCGTGCGTCGTCTTCGTCGTTTCACGGCGTGCGTCATCGTCGTCGTTTCACGGCGTGCGTCGTCTACACAGGCGTGCACTTCCCTCGTCTTTTTGCGTCGTTTTCGTCGTTTCACGGCGTGCGTCGTCTTTATCCGTTTTCTTGCGTCCCTTCACCATAACCTCAATCCTGCTATCACGATTTATCCGATTCCCTATTTATCCAATATCCCGGACGAGCCCCAAAATGTGGGAATTACTACGCGGACTCAGGATGGTTCTGGAAGGGTCGAAGCACCACGTCACTGCTTTGTTAAAAAGATATCAAAACTATATTCTACGATTCAGATACAGCTACTCTCTTTTCTTGCAAGCGCGCCGAACGTCTCTCCCTCCTCTCTCCTTTAGCGCCACCTTCTTCCTTCGCCCCGTCGGTATCGGCTG